CCAGTCCATTGTGGGTGGGGTCACTGCTGGGCCGGTGGTTCTGGATTCTATAGGAAAGCCATGATGAACAAGTCAGTAAGCAGCACCCTTCTGTGGCCTCTACATCAGCTCCTGCCTCGATGTTCCTGCCCTGTTGCGTTCCCGACCTCACAGTTTTGATGATGTTGACTGTTCCATAGAACTGGGAGTGAAGCAAACCCTTTCCCCACAAGTTGCTTTAGATCATCACAGCCATAGTAACCCCATTGCTAGAGTAACCCTAACAATTGTAATTTACGTAACACTGTCTACGCGGATAGTGGTGCTGGTCACTTCTCAAGGAGAAGGACAGATTGTACACTTTCCAGAGAAGAGGAAAGGCCAAGCAGCCTTACAAAAGCAGATGGCAGCCCCTTTCTTTAACTATGTTGTCTTAGGTTAGAGTTCCTCCATTTACTTTCTCATTCCTATGTAACCTAGTATTTCCTAAAAAAGTTTCTTAGGGAATTCATTCTATCCCTATTTTGACCAAAAACTTGTTTATAATTTTGTCTTTATCTGCAATCGCAGAATCTAACATGCGTATAAATGCTAAAATAGGCATCTTTCTCCTTACACCTCACAATGCCTCAGATCTATGGTAATGGCAAACTCTTCCCTGTACAGGTCAGGCTAGGAACTGGCAAAACCTCTGGTCTGTGTCGGAATGTTGACCATGTGACAAGTTCGAGTATTTCCAAATGATCGACCAGTATGTGCAAAAGCTAGCAACTACTTCCTGGGTGTTTATAACCGGAGACTTCCTACAGAGACCTCTTATTACTACAGAGTCTAGCTAACCCCTCCTCCTGCACTGTAATGAAAAACATACTGAGGTTTCTGGTTGCTGCATACTTGGTGCCACTCAATCAGAATGCTCACAACCCATCTAATCCCAGCTTTTCTGTGTGTCTGCCTGTCTGTCCTTCATTCCATTGATGCCCCCAGTCAGGTTTCCAGGACCAAGCTATGCAGGAGGTGACAGAAGAATCAGATAACCTGGAACCGGAGTTACGGATATTTGTGACATGTGGGAGCTGGGAGTCAAACTCAGGTTGTCTTCAAAAGCCACTGAACCATCTCTCCAGTCCCGATATTAAACCTTAATGAAATGTATGGTTTACAAATATATTCTTCCAATCGAAAGGATAGGTTGATTTTTCATTTCCATTTTTATTTTTATTATATTTATATATTTATTGAGAGAAGATTTTGCTAGGTAACTCAGGTTGGCCTCAAACTTGTGACCTTTTCGTCTTAGCTTCCAAGTGATACAAGTATATATTACCAAGCCCAGAAGCTTTAAAATATAAGTACATTGTAGAATGGCTAACTTGAATCATTAATGTATGCATTATCTCACATACTTTACATTTTTTTTCTGTGATAGAAACATTTAAAATCTACTCAGCAATTATATATAGTACATTGCGAGGGTTGGAACAGTGCTTTAGTGGTTAAGAGCATTGATTGCTCTTGCAGAAAACTCGCTTTCAGTTTCTAGTAGCCACGTGGCAGCTCTCAATATCTGTAACTCCAATTCTGACTTCTGTGGGCAGCAGTCACGTGGGTGCAAAACATGCATATATGCCAGTAAAATAAGCATACACAAAAATATATGTAGTACGTTGTTATTAATGACGGTAATCATAGTCCTAATGTTGCCTAATTGGTCTCTTGAATACATTCACCTTGTCTAACTGGTTAGTTTTCCTTCTGTGCTTGGGTTTGGGCCCAGAGACTTATGACTGCTAGGCAAGTGTTATACCTCTGATCCTTTTACCAGTATCTCCCAAAACTTGTGAGTCCTCAGTCGTGGTCCCACTGTTCTGTCTTCTTAAGAATGTAAACCCTTATATAACTGAAAGCATGTGGCATTTTTCAATGTCTGCATATTTTACTGAACATGCTGTTTTCAGATACCAGGATTTCCCTCCTCCTCCTCCCCCTCCTTCTCCTTCTCTTCTCATTTTTCTCCTTTTCCTCCTCATTCTCCTTCTCCCTCATCTTCATCTTCTTGTCCTCCTCCTCTTCTACTTCTTTTGCTTCCTCCTCCCCCTATTCCTCCCTTTCAGGCTACGAAAGAGCTGTTTTATCTCTCTCCCCCATCACCACCTTTATTGTAGGTTGGATGCTTTGCTTTTTATTTATTTTATAATTTCTTTCCTTTTTTTGTGATGATTTTTTTATCCATTTGTTTTTCTATTTTAACATTTTTATTTCAGCATGCAGAATAGTTGGCTTCATTATGGCATTTTAATACCTGCGAGGCTTTTGTTGACCCTCTCCCCATCTCCTCCTCGCCTATTGTTTCTCATTTCCTATTTCCACCTAAACCCTTAGGATTTCTTTCTTTTAGTGGATGAATAATATTTTATTCATTTACATATGACAGTTTTATGCATTGATCAGACACTTAGGTTGAATCCGTGTGACTAATGAATGCTTTTACGACTGAACATGGGAGTACAAGCGTCTCTACCATTCAGATTTCATTGGATTATAAAGAAGAAAACTACATTTATCTTAAATGCAGTCAGTGATTCTTAGAAACAGTACATATCTACAAAAGTCACACCTGAATGTTTACAGTAAGCCAGAAACCCTTCCATGTTCCTCTTCTGTCCTGTCCTCAACAGGGCAGGGAAATTCCCTGCCATGAAAGACCCTACCTTCTTCCCTGCCATGAAAGACCCTACCTCTTCCCTGCCTTCTACGAGTTTGACATGCTATTCCTGCCAATGGGATCATTGACAAGCACTATTCCTACATCTCTCAGATCTTCAACACAGCCACCAAAATATGTTTGAGCCAGACACAGTGGCATATACCTCTAATCCCAGCAGCTGGAAAGTTTGAGGCAGAAAGATCAAGAGTTCAAGGCCGGTGTGGTGGTTTGAATAAAAATGACCTCCATTAGCTCACAGGGAGTGGCACTATTAGGAGATGTGGCCTTGTTGGAGGAAATGTGCTTTTAGGAGGTGAACTACGAGATCCCAATTGCTCAAGCCAAGTCTAGTGTGACATTCACTTCCTGCTGCCTTCATATCCAGATGTGGAAACTCCCAGATCCTCTCTAGCACTGTTTTTTCTTGCATGCCACTGTGCTTCCCACCGTGATGATAAAGGACTAAAGCCCTGAACTGTAAGACAGCCCCAATTAATTGTTTTCCTTAATAAGAATTGCTGTGGTCATGGTGTCTCTTCACAGCAGTAGAACCCTAAGACAGCCAGCCTCTGCCTTAAAGCAAGTTGAGGCCAATTTAGGTTACATGAGACTGTGTCTCAAAAAGAAAAAGAAGAAAAGAAAAAGAAAAAGAAAAAGAAAAAGAAAAATTTCAATAGCCAGAATATTTGTTTTTATTTTTAGTTAGGTGTATGTGTCTGTGTACATGAGCACAGATGTCTGAGGAGTACAGATGTCTGAGAATTCCAGAGGTTCCAGATCCCCCTGACCCAGAGCTGTATGCAACTGTAAACTACTTTATGTACTGGGACTCAAACACAGGCAGGTCCTATGCTAGAGCAGTATGTGCTGTTTACTGCTGGCTTAGCTCTTCAGTTTCCTCATAGTTTTTTTTTTTTTAAAAAAAACAACAAAAACTCAGAGAGGTAAAAGGAAGTACTTATTAAACTTCTGCTACTCCATTGTAATAATTCTTTTTTTTTTTTGTATTGTGGAAGTGTGTGTTGAGGCGTTGTTGTTGGGTGTGCTGTTGTTGATGTTGTTGTTGTTGAGGGTGAAGTGTGTTTGAAGTGGTGAGTGTGTATAAATTTTGTTGAGGAGCGGCGTTGGTCGAGTTGTGCAAGTGGAGAGGCAAAAAAAGAGAGTGTAGCCCAGGCTGGCCTCGAACTTGTGATCCTCCTGCCTCGGCTTCCTTCAGCAAATCCTAACGGCGTGCGCCACCACAACCGGCCATTGTAATAATTCTTATAGCTATTTTACTCTCGCAAATGATGGAAAACAAATCTAGTTAATGATATTACTATATTCCATTATTTTTACTTTATTTTATTATTTTATTTCATTCCATATCAATACATTTTGAGCTTATTTATTATCTTACAAATACCGTACCAAAAATCTTTAGAATTTTTCAAATTACATTTATTTGTGGGAGAGGGGCATGCCTGTGTCATGGCACACGTGCAGAGGTCAGAGGACAGTTCAAGAGAGTCGGTTTACTTCTTTAACCACAATGGACCTGGGGCTGGGGCTTAGGTCAGTACCTTAGGTGATAGTGCCTTTTCCTGCTCTGCTGCTCTCCTAGTCCGAAATCCATCCTATTGCAAGTGTGGAGCTGGGGATATGTCTTCAGTTGTGTTTTTCTCTCTGGTTTGGTTCTGGAGGTTGAACCTGAATCTTGTTCATAAAGGAAGTCACTCTGACACCGAGCCACTCCCCCAGTCCTGCCTGGACATTTTCAAGTAGCTAACAACTGCTCATCTTGTTTGATATTTAGGTAATGTGTTTGGAATGTTACATATAATTTGCAAATTGTACATATCTAGTGACCACCTATATCTGAAGGATTAGTTCTAGAGATGAGGCTCCTGAGTCAATGAGATTCAGTACAATAATTTGTACAGGTTCCTGTTACATCACTCTGTAAATCTTCACTACCTGAAGCTCAGTGGAGAGAGACCTCCATCTGTCTGTGCAGAGTTCACACTGAAGGACCTCCATCTATCTATGCAAACTTTATACTAAATGACCTCCATCTGTCTGTGCAGAGTTCACACCAAATGTTCACAGATGATGTAATAGAAAAAAAAAGATCCCTGGTCCCTTTAGTCCCCCAGGATCTTTGTGTCAGATACAGGCTGCTTGCCACAGCTCTACTGTGTGAGACTATCTTTACCTGCTTAAGCTTTTCTTACTTGATTGAAAAATAAATACAAGGAGAAGAAAATACTAATGGCCATTTGAAACCTTTCTTTTTTTTTTTTGAAGAGGTCAGGACAACATGGCTTCTCAAATCTTACCGAGCACACCAACATTTAGCCAGATGTCCATCCCTGTGAATCAGTATCCATGGACTGAGAACTGCATAACCAATGGTCAGAAATTCTTGAAAATTCATTGTTAAGGAGTCATTCTTCCAAGAGAAAGATAAATGTAAAGAAACAAAACAATCTGTCCAGTAGAAGAAAAGAAAACAGAGCATCAGAAGGAGGACACTCTGAGCAGCTCTCAGCTCAGGGGGAGTTCTGTAGAGAAACTTGGAGTTCTGAAGGTAGAGGACATGCTGGTGGTGCTTGTGGAGAAGAAATACCATGTAGCCACTGGCCCCTCCCATGGCTCCCTGAAACACAGCATCTCTCAGGACCATGAGCATGAGAAAAATGTTGTTTATTTTCTGACTTTCTTTTCTGAAATAACAATATCGATCATTAATACTCAGTTGCAGTGTGTTTGTACCTCTGTTTCTGATGGAATGGAGGATGTTCATGCTGATCACAGAATTGAGAATCCAAAAGAAAAGCAGGGAGAGAAGCACATACTCTGGAGACCTCAGTTTGAGACTCCCCCACCAAGAGGCTCTGGGGCTGATGATGATGGCCTGGACCACAGTGAGGAGACCGCTGGTGCAGATGGAGAGTCCACGGGCCACCCTTCTTAGATAAAAAATAATGAGACAGCCTAAGTCCCCTAGGAAGTGTTTCAGACCTAAGGCTGCAATTGTTATTTGCGTGCCCTTGAGCAAAAGCATTATAATATTTGTGAAAGCCAAGTGGATGAGAATAAGATGTATGGATTTCTTTCTAGAGCTCACAAAAGTGCATATTTGATTGACAAAAACAGAAACATTAGCCATAGTGCCAAGTCCAGTTGGAAGAAGAAATATTGTTATTTCATCAACATTCAAAGCCATTTCTAATTTCATGGGCAGAAAATTTTGGATCTTCCAAGTAGAGTTTGAGGAAATGATGTGTATCTATAAAATGTACTTTATGTCATAGCGTGTTTCTGGTATATAAAAGACGTCCCTGACATGCATTGAAACAATTTTTCTATCTAAAGAATTTTACTTTCTTTTTTTCTCCTGTTAGTCTTTATGGGATATCTTGTACCTGAAGTGGGATCTGTGGGAGAACATAAAAATATTTGAAATTACAAAGCATATTTGTCATAGCAAATTAGATTACATGTTCAGATGTTTACATATTCCATGTATTTTGAACCTCAACATGTGTTTAAATAAAGTCAAGTGTTCACCAACTTTGCTTTTCCTATTGAATTTTGTTGCTACCCCTGTGATTCAGTTCCCAACAACAGCTTCCCTTCCCCTCTCTCCCTTCTGCACACCTAGTGAACAGACACTTTGGTAAAAAATTGTGTCAAGCATGGTGGCTCACGTCTGTAATCCCAGCACTTGAAGAAGGGTGAGGCAGGAGGATTACTGGGGATTCACTGCAATTACATTCAGACTGACCAACACAGAGAGTTTCAAGTCAGCCATAGTCATATAACAAGACCTTGTCTGAACCCCTACCCCAAGAAAACCCTAGAACACCCCCAAAATAAAACAAAATAACCCTATCTTACAGCATCAACATTAGCCTCTTTCAGAGTGCAAGACTTTCCTGCTTCTGTAATGTCTTTTGTTTTGTTGCTATGTGAGTTTTCTTTTAAAATGAACATGGCAAAGACCTGTTTTATGTACTGTCTCTAGTTACTGTGTCTTTGGTTCATGTATCTTTATACTTCAGAGGTCACTATGCCTGTCTTTTATCTTTCATCTTCAAGATCTCTGGCAGCGAGAACCATGTGAACATTGACTTGTACCTTAGTCTGCGATGACACAGCCTCATGAATGGAAGCATCAGGTACCTTCTTTCAGCCTTGGTTTCCATGACTGCAGAATGAGAGGTTACAATCTCTAGCCACACATTAAACGAAGCATGCTGTGATTTTAAATTCCCAGTCCATACTTCACTAAAACACCAGGCATGTTAGTAAGGACAAGGAAGTTCAAATTAGGGCTGATTAAAAACTTAGTTAGAGATCTAGAATTCTAAGAAAAAAATTTCAGACTCTTCCCCACTATCCTCAAGACATTAATAAATACTTTTATGTTTTTACGATTTGGGTCTAGTGTTTTCCATCTTTCCAGGATCCCTACCTTAATGTTAGTGAGGACCCAAAGCCCCCAGTCAGGTTTAGGGTAAGCTTTGAAACACCTATTACAATGCTTCCGTTAGTTTTTTTCTGAACAATTTGAATAGTAGCAAGGGTCAAAGTGGGGAATTACGTTCCTAAATAGCTCTTGAATTATTATTGGAGACTACTTAAAAGGCCGTGGCTTACACTGAGTTATGTAACAACCCAGGCAGGCAACTGTGCCCATTTCAGACATGTTAGTTCTCCCAACTGAAAATGGCAACAGTGCTTGATGTTTCATAAAACTAAGTCTAGCTTACAATAGATTACATTAGCTCTTAACCTGGTCAAGCATTAGTTTTCTCCTTCATCGTGATATATAATGATGAAATTGACTCAGAGGTATAGTATGTTAGCTATGAGATTGGGAGAGACTTTGAAGATGAGTGCAGAAAAAGAATTAAGACACACACACACACACACACACACACACACACACGGTGGGAGGAAAAGGGGAAAGATTTGTGGAATTAAGATCTTAACGGGCAAAGACAAAGTTTGTCCATAAGTAAGAGACAAATATGCCGTGAAGAAATTCTGTGAGAACTGATAATGGTGTCTGTCAGTCATGTTACAGGTGAAAGCAAAGGCTTAGAGAAGAGAAATGTTTTTGCTTTCTTTCCCCCTAGGAACTGGAAAAGCTCTTGCATCAATTCTTATTCTCCCCCCAAATGAAAGAGGCGAAACATGCAAAGACCCTCCTTGAGCTCTCCAAAGGCACTGGCTCCTAAGCAAGGAAGCCTGGCACTTAACCATCTTTCCGGCCCGTAGCACATACCTGTGGAGATCAGCTCATCAAGTCCTATGCCTCACAGTCAAAGAAAAACCGGCTAATGTGCTTCTGAGGGAAATTTTCCCGCCCACGGAGGACTACTAAAGAGTGGTCAGGTGTGCTTAGGGCAGCGACGGCCGTGTAAGCCCGTCTCTGGATTCAGTCTCTGGATAGGGGAGCCTTCCAGGGTTGTATTTGAATCTTCTGGATTTAAAGAGTTCTTGTTTTCAATAACAAGAACTGTCACTGGGCTTTAGTTTTCTGTTCTCAGTGTGTAGGGGAGAAGGAAGCCCTCTGCAGAATCTTGTCCCTGGAGTACAACTCTCTCCCTCCCTCCACAATTACTACCTAGGTTTGTTCTAGAAGCTGTTTCAGTCTTAATTGGAATTTAATTACTTTATGCAACAAACTGTGGAAATGATCCTTGAAGATGCAGTCTTGAGTTTAATTACCTTAACAGAAGGACGTGCAGCGAGGGTCTGTGTCTCGAGTCCCCGCTGTCTCCAGTCCTCTCTTCGCCTTCACCAAGTTCTGTAAATTAGAAGGAGACTAGCTTCCCAGGCACAGAAAAAGCAATGCCCTCTTCCTTCCCTTGACCTGTTCCACACATGAGAGTATGACCCATGCCATCCATCTCTGGAGATGCCACTTTCTGAGAAAGTCTCAGATACACAGTGGGGACAGAGGGGTTCTCCTTACTGTAGGCACCTTGATGTTTCAAAGTCTTTCATGAGTGATTGCTTCCTTTTTTAAACAACAGCTGGGACACCCCCAAATGTCCAAACTGGGAATTCCATGTGAAAGATGAATCTTGTCCCATATCAACAGTCAGTATGTATGAGAAGGTTATTGACTGAATTATTGATGGAGGCAGTAAATTTACTCAGGGATCCAAATTACTAGGTGAATTTAGGATAAGCTGTGTTCTGCAAAATTGTGTGTCCCTTATTTGATATTGAGTTAGAGTTTATCTTTGAAAACCTTAGTACATTCCCGCCAATTCTACCTGTCTTTCCAGCAGGGGTCAATACTGTCACTACTTGGTGGAGAACAAGTAGGCACAGTTGGTAATGACAGAGTCCATCAAGAGTGCAGGGTCCCTGCCTTCTGTGTATTTCAAGATGGGATTCTCATGCTGCATTACCAAGAGGAAAGGCAAGGTGAGGTCTTGTGAGAAATTTTCTCTGGTCTATGATGACATGTCTACTGGTGTGTTCAATGTGCAGTCTTGTGCAGGCAAACATATTTTGAGGTTTCATGGGTGTAATATCCCTGTCATGTTTAGAAGGCACTATCTCTCAGCAGGGGTGCTGATCTTCTGACACAATCTTTTTTGCCCCCACTTCTTAAAAGTCTTGAACCTTAGATGTAGGGGCTGTATTGTGTATTTATCAGTTGAAGCTGGGCACCATATATATATGTATATGTATATATATATGTATGTATATGATGAGGAGTTTATTATTTAGGGTTTTCGGTTTTTGCAATGACCATAGCAACTTTTATGAAGGAATACATTTAATTTGGGGCTGGCTTACAGTTCAGAGCTTTAGTCCATTATTGTCATGATAGGAAACAGGGTGTCATGTAGGCAGATATGTGGCTGGAAAGGTATCTGGGAGTTTTACATCCAGGTCAGTAGGCAGTAGGAAGAGAGTGACACTGGTCCTGGCTTGCTTCTGAAACATGAAAGCCCACACTTAGTGACAAACTTCCTCCAAGAAGAGACCACACCTACTCTAACAAGGCCACATGCCCTAATACTTTCAAATAATGCCACTCCCTATGAGCCTGTGGGGGCTGTTTTTATTCAAGCCACCACAGTGGGTGAGGCTATATTTATCTGTTGGTATGAGCACAGGTATTTGGAACAGTTTAAAGCAATGCTGATTTAGAAAAATGGCAGAATGGCAGTTGTAGGTTTCTCCCCTACAGTCTATGGCCTTTCCATCTATGGGATCTTGGCTAGGTTTATAGCTAGGGTCAAGTATGAGTTTTCTCCTATTGAACATCCATCCCTTAAATCCAATTAGACAGCTATTGGTTATCCCCAAGATATAATGTTGAACCATTAGAGAGATCTTCCCAGGTCAGCCATTGTGGTTTGTAGGGTTTGCAACCGAATACAACTGCTACTTGCTTTTCTCCCTTAGCAGTCAGTGTGTACACGATCTTATAATTCTATTGAGAGGTAGCTCTTAGAGAGGAGGCTTCCAGGTCCATACTCAGTTTGATTCCCCCAAGTCCTTTATGTGAAGTTTGTGATACCTTCAGCAGTAGGGTCTTGCCTTCAGGTTCTGGGAGGAACAAAAGATGACAGCCATGACCTATATTGTTTTGGGGTCTTTGGACAGCTTTGAGCAATAACTCAGAGAGCAGTGTTTGTTGTTGTTGTCAGTGGTTTCTGGGAGAATTATTATCCTCTGTGTGGGGTACTGTTTAAATTGTGTGTATGTGTGATGTATGTGTATATTTAAGTGTTTATATATGTTAACAGAGATGAATAATATGTATTTTTGAGTCAGCTTATAGAGTCTCCCTATAGCCTTTTCAAAATCCTTCACGTTGTCTTTACTCTCTTTCCCTTTTTCGTATTACTTTCCATCATCTTCCCCTTGTGCTTCTTTTTTTTTTACAAAATATTTATTTTTCAAATGATCTTATGAATTTTTAAGTGATGGGTAAACATTTCCTAGATATTCCTGTATTTCACTTTAACTAACTCATTGTTCACTTGGTATTTAATAGATTCCTTCATAAGGCTTCTGGCTTCAATGAATTTGCATAGTCTATGTGGAATCCTTCAAAGATCAGTATTAGATGGTTGTAAATGTCTGAAGAGGGGGAAGAAAGATTCAGAGAGATTCAAAGAGTCAAAGATGATGGATCTGGTTCACACACACATTAGTTAACATTGTAAAAAGAGACAATAAACCTGTAAACATGTTGAT